CGACGTATGTTATTCTTCTCCTTGCCTTTCTCCCTGTATTCGGTATAATCTTTAAAACGGATTTTGCGAATACGAATGTCGCATACTGTGGTGGTTTTTTGTTTTCAACGGCGAATTAAGTCAAGTTAGGCGAAGCAACGTTTTCGATGCATTCATCATCAGGCAGATACAGTAATATAAGGGAGGGTAGAGTTACCAAAAGTTTAAGCCTGTTCACTTGTATTGGCAAAAGTTTAAGCAACCAATCAGTAGTAATTAGGGGGAGAGTGGGGGGTGTTAAGGGATCAAGTGGGGTCAGATTCTAGTCATAATTACGGTTCAGAGAGGGAAGTGGAGGAAGGGGTCTGACAATTAGTTCATGTCACCCCGTCGTCCCTGTCTCGCGTTTTGTTGGGAGGTTTGAGAACGCAAGGTGTCATCGTCTGGTGATGGTGTGGCTAGCCGTTTCCCCCTAATTACTACTGATTGGTTGGCTAAACTTTTGTTAACTCTATCCTCCACTTGTATTTGCCAGATGACGAATAATCGGAAGCGTTCGTTTGTCTAACTTGACTTCCTGAATGCTTACAGTACGCGCCAGAATTCGTGCAACATGCAGACGTGTGCGGAAGATTGATACTCTTTCGCTAATCGGCATTAACCCAGGTTGTGATACTGATTATCATGCAGTCTATTCTGAAGTTATTTCAGTCATTATAGGATGCGGGACTTTCAACGGGTTTCTTTCTGACTACTAACAAAACGTTTGAACTGCAAAAAGTAACTACTTAAAAAGTATGCGTTTTCAGCATTGATTTTGACTCCCTTCATAAATTCAAACAAATTTTATGGAAAGCGTAAACGGAATAAAGTTTTTCTCGTACTCGTTTGGTAGCAGGGTACCTTTCGGTTTTAAAAAAGTTTGTAAATTACCGAATAATTTTGAAACCTACTGACTGCTACACTCGAACTCACAGTTTACAAACTGCGCATCGTGTACACCCTATTTAAGGAAAAGTACATTTTTGCCTACAGTTTGAGGAAATGTCACAGCGTTCTCATCAAATGTTGCAATAGGTGTGGAACGTGCTTTATACAGTATAAGCAGAATTAATAAATTGACGGATACGATGTGTTATGGATGGACACCTCGCAATCGTAAAAAATGTCATAATTAGATTTTTTAAACCCAAACATAACCATTCCTTAGGCATAAAATTTAAAGGAGGCATAATTTGCTACCAAATAAAGCCGGCATCCGACAAGGACGACGAAATCGCGACCATTAATGACTCGAAAGCGAACTGCCAAGCCATCATCGCAGCTCCTACGACCCCAAGTGGCGGTTACAGGAACTGATAATTACAGTACGCATGCGGATGGCCGCCACGAACTATAAATACCGCAAAATCTGTGCATGTGTGGCGAAGTCCCGAACTATTTGTGACCTTGAACATTCTTGATTCCATTCTCCTTGAGTATCCCTAGTGTTAGAATGCACTGAAAACACCGCTAGGACTTTAGCACGTGTACAGCAAGCCAAAAAGTTGTAAATATTTTCGTAATATTGCACATGCCTTTGAATTTTTGTTGTTTTTGGTCCTTGTCATACCTTATGTTGGGTTTCGCATTATACTTGCACAGAGTCTAATTGCTCTAACCACACATGTCTCACCCCAATCAGCACATGTTTCACACCATTCTACGGTTATCTGTGATTAAGGATTCTAGACAGAATCCAAAATTTCAGGAGAATAAAATTCT